TTTTTACGGACTTTTTATCCTCGTCCGAGGACGCACTGTTCTATTGGAGTTTACCATTATGTATTCCCGTCACCGTGCGGGATGCAATTTTTTTGTTATTTGAAGCCACACCCTAGCTTTTGCCGGGGACCCTGAATATAGCCGGTCTATATATCTATAGTCGGCTCTGTGGCTAAGTCGATGCGAACACTTCGCTTCGTAATGCCGGGATGCCAGGTTCGATCCCAGCTGCGGGCAATGCGCCTTGCGTTGGTTTCGACAGTGGTATCAAAAAAGCCGACCGTCCAGGAAGCAATGGCAAACTACTGGACGTAAATTTGCCTAGAGAAACCACACAACAGCCAGGGGCTGTTAGGGTTGGTTCTGCAACGTCCTCTAGAGGATACGCAACAACCTAGATATATCTATAACCTCACGGCTGAAGGGGGTTTCTGTGACCTCTCCACGCGTGATCCTCATCCGCATGGTGGCACTTTGTGTCACCGGGTGTTTATCGCTTGTGTGATGTCCTGTTGGGATACAATTACCTACCTACCTTTACCATTAATTTTTTTTTTGGTAACCCCCAAAAAATTAACGTAAGGAAATACAAGCTTTAGGTACAGACTGTGTGCGGTTTACACCGCTTTACCCACAACAGTAAGTGAGTTAAACTTGACCTCAATCGTGAAGATCGCATACGCTAGCGAAGCTGCAGGATGACATGACTAACAAGAGACTAATTAACAGTTTGACTGCTTCTTCCTGTTACCTTCTGATCTGGTTCACATTTACACATTGTACTTGAAGTGTTATCCTGAAAACTATGTGCTGTTCCACTTTGTATGCTTTTCTCATAACACGATGGCATCCGCTATAACAGGGACAAAAATGTAAATAGGAGAAACACTGTTATAACTAATAAGAAGGCATCTGAAAGAAAGGACTACAGTTAAGCGTGTGTAATTTCTGACGTATAAAGAAGGTCAGTCACTTAGCGATTACTGATATTTTTTAATTTATATTCTAATGTATTTATTAACCCAGCGGTTCTCAACCTGTGGATCACAACCTTTTTTTTTTAAGTCAAAAGACCCTTTCACAGGGGTCGCCAAGATCATTGCAAAACACATATTCATGGATGTTATGAAGTAGCAACAAAACAAATTGTATAATTAGGGGTTGAAACAACATGAAGAACTGTATTAAAGGGTCGCGACATTAGGAAGGTGGAGAGCCACTGTATTAAGCAGTTACACTACCATTTTGAAGATAACAGTGACCAAATGTTATATTTATTGTATATCAATGTCAGATGCTGAGGATTAGAGCAATGCCCTTGACTATCGACTTGATAGTAATAGGACTAAATTAGCACTGAGGCAAAACCCGTGATGTCGTTGCTAGACGCTCGCCCATCTCTGAAAGCCTTGCATTTCTTCTTCTTTTTCTTCTTCTTGAATTTGAAACTGCCTCGAGTCTTTTATTAAATTAAAGGGAGTTTATTTTTTTAACCTGACCAATATTATTTAACTTAGTCAATCTCGGAAAGTTTGTCATGTAACTAATACATGTTTCGAAAGAAAGAAAAAAAAACCAAAGAAAGAAGCGTTGATGTAACGAAATAAAGCAGTGTGGTTAAGAGTAACAATTTTGGATGTCGCATGAAGAATTTGCCCTACACATGCAGTTCCAAATCTGGCCACGCAGATGCCTAGCAAGTGGCCGACGTATCACTGCCAATTGTATTGTATTGATGATCCTTCCATACTTGGGCTAGGGTCTCTGCTCCATGATGATTCCCATTGTCAACATGTTGGCCCCTGCATAAACCTAGCTGAATAGCCCTGGCATAAGCGATCAAAAGCAGACATACGCGATCAAAGGCAGACATGTGCGATCAAAAGCAGACATAGAGTTCTAAGCGGAAAGCAATCTTCGATAAGATTAGATTTCTAAAATAGGACACATGGAACAATTATAAACACCATAAAATGTGGCAGTAAAATAGCTAATTGCTGAAACATCTGTGAGCGTCAACAGCTTTGGCATTCCAATATAAATAAATGCCTAACTCGTCTACGAAATAGCGTCTCCTCAAAATAGCATATAATTGTTGTGTTGAGGAGTTATTAGTTTCAAACCCTTTCATTGAGGTAGATAAATATAAATTCCTGAGTTATTCTCACAACCGTATAGGAGTAAATATTTGCATTAATTATGATATTAATATCTTACTTTTTTTCTATTTTTGCATTGAAAAACTTTTCAGGACGCCTATCTAAACGCTTTTTTTAAACTTCTAAAAAACATTAGAACATACGATAACTAAGTAAAGTATGTTGACGTCAATAACACTGGTCAGTCACCATCATCATTATCATCAACATCATCATTATCATCAACATCATCATTATCATCATTATCATCATTATCATCCAATTACCAATACTAAAGACTATTATCTTGGCCCTCATCCTTTTGTGTCATTTTTTGTTAATAGCGCTCGCAGTTAAGTCCTTCGTTCCCTTGTATCATGTGCTGCATCATCATCATCATCATAATTATCATGTACGGAATCCTCTTTCAACAATGTTCATGTCAATATTCCTCTTTTACGTCGTCGTTTCCCCATTTCATGTTTTCCAATCGCAGTAATATGTTGTGATTGTCCGTTTTATCACGGTGTATCCATGACGTATGTAAGAAATCTTGCTTAGGGTCTGGTGTAATAGCTGTTTCTTGCCTTATAGTCCATGTCATGAGATGTTCTTTTATGTCTGCACATAGCCTTCGAAGAAGTCGCCGTGATGGAGATGCTAGACGCTCGCCGCGGATCGGAGGGTCGTGGGTTTGTTCCCTGGCGAAGGCAGGTTTTTTTTTTTTTTTTAATGACCTTGGCTCCCAAGTTACCCAGCCTTGAGTGAATACTAGTTGCACTTCCGGGAAGTAAAGGCAGCTGACGTAATGCTGATTTTATAGCCCATCTTGTGCCGATTGGTCTCTAAAAATATAGGTCTAACCCTATATGCCATATAGCCTAAATGCGTGGAAAAGGGTCCTTTACTTTACTTACTTTAGATAGCCTTTTACCTCGTATACTGTTAATCATCTTTAATGCATATATTCGTCTATGTTTTCATCGCTCTTCTATAAAACCCCATCTTTAAAGCGGCCTCATAATTATTTCCTTAACAGCTAATTGTCCATGATTTGCCTCCGTGCACGGTAATTAGTTTTTTATAACCATTTATTTTTGCCTCTCTCTCTCTCTCTCTCTCTCTCTCTCTCTCTCTCTCTCTCTCTCTCTCGCTCTCTCTCTCTCTCTCTCTCTCTCTCTCTTTAAAATAAAAAAAGTTGACAAAGATAAACTGCATATAAAATTTCTCTTTACCAAACTCGTTCTTTGACTGGGTTATTTAACATCTTTAATTCATCTTCCATCTTCTTCTTGTGTTCTGTTTGATTTACACCGACAGACAAGTTCTTGTAATAAACTTGATTGTTTTTGGGAGTTTCCTTTTAGTTCCTTACAACTTTGATTTCCTTGTTGACACAGTGAGCCAGTATTTCCTTTTTAATGAGGTGTACAAGGGCAATTCTTGCAGGACATGTTCTGTAGTCTGCACACACAGGGGCACGTCAGTGAACCACTAAGACGAAGCCTGTGCATATGCTTGTTAAGTTTGTTATGTCCTGTCCTTGATTGACTGCAAGGTCAAGTTAGAAGTGATCATCTCTGACAAAATTATGTTCACTTCTGATAGACTGGATTGACCTTTTCTTCTTGGAGCATATTACTGCTTTTTCTTCGTGGATTGCCCTTTTCTTCTTAGAGTATGTTTCTGCTTTTTCTTACTGGGTCGCCCTTTTCTTTTATTAAAGTGGCAATAACCTGTCTATCTACTTTTACCCCACCAGGACATCACACAAGCAAGAATTGCCCTTGTACACCTCATTAAAAAGGGAATACTGGCTCACTGTGTCAACAAGGAAATCAAAGTTGTAAGGAACTAAAAGGAAACTCTCAAAAACAATCAAGTTTATTACAAGATTTGTCTGTCGTAAGGTAACGACCATTTTTTTTCTGCCTACAGAGTTCTGGTTTCAACCGGTAGATCGCTTTTTCTTCCTGTTCACATTCTTCCCCTTTCCTAACAAGTTTATCCGCGGTTTTGTTTCCTGGAATATCACAGTGGAATGACACCAACTGGAACAGATCACAGATGAGGGAGTTTACCACCCTTGAGGGCTTGGCGCACCAAGAGCGCATATGTGAAGATGACCACTTGGTGGCAGTCAGAACTGGTGTTGTGTAACATTTCGGCAGCTTGCTCTAGTGCTAGGATCTCTGTTGTTTAGTTAAAACAGAATTTACCAGTGGGTATATACTTTATGTGGCGGTAGTTGTCTGAGTATGTGATAAAGATGCCAGCAACCCCATTTTTAACTGCACTGGATGCTGATCCGTTTGTGTAAGCATGTATCTACGACTGTTCTGGGTAGTTTTCCTGGATCATACTAAGGGCAACTAATTGTTTTTGAAGGTCTTGGGCTCCTCTCCGGCTGTGAGTTCATTGACCAAAGCTATTTTCTGTAGCTGACTCGATACCAAGGTAGGTTTCAGCGATGTTGTTCTCGTGGATAGGTCTGCTTGATACTGTCATCGTCCATCTTGTTATCAGATCTATAATACATCTTTAATCTTCTTTTATCAGGTCCTTTAATACTCATTCCATCTTCTGTTATCATGAACTGAAGTCCCTAAACATATATAAATGTTCGAGATTTGTCCCATTTACTTGGATGCTGCGTTTTAGAAGTCATATTATTCTTTTTAATTGCTGTTAATCCTCCCTTCCGCACCCCCCCCCCCCTTTTCCCCCAGTTGTTCACAGCAAGACCAAATGAACTGTTGAAATTATGACAATTTTGCTCTCTTTTTGTTTTAGTTACACGATGTGAACGTTGATACTAAGATAATTTCTTTTTTTTCCCCAGACACAAGAGTCAATCTCAGAATGGAGCTGTTAGCACAGTTGGTCCAACTTTTGGCGTTAAGCTCCGTTCTAGCGGCAACATCCAGATCTGGAGCTAATCGATGTCTGTCAGTGGGATCTTTCAACGTCAAATGGTTCACCGTGTCAAAATCTGCTGACGAAAGCATCCTGAACATTGTGGCGGATATAATCCGACGTTATGACGTCATGTTGATGATGGAAATCAGGGACAATGTCGGCCAGACGGCGATGAATCGTCTTTGGGAACTAGTCAATGCTACCTCACCTTATGGACTCTCCTTAAGCCAACCCCTTGGTCGTAATACTAGCAATTACAGAGAGCAGTATGGTTTCTTTTACCGTATAGGAAAAGCCTATCTGGTTGATTCGGTTCAGTACGATGACTCTTCAAATGATGAATTTGAAAGAGAACCGTATTCAGTTTTAATCAAAACATCAGCCAAGTCATCGAAACCAGGGATAGCTTTCATCGGTCTCCACACCCAACCTAAGACTACTGTGGCAGAAATGACAAGTTTGATTAAAGTGGCAGATTTCGTTCTCAGCCATTGGAACACAGACAAAGTTGTTATTCTCGGAGATCTGAATGCAGACTGTAGATACATGTCTAAAAAAGCTCTTGCAAAGACTCCGCTAAGGACAGATAAGAGATTCACCTGGCTGATCCCAGATACAGCAGACACGACAATTTTACCACAAACAAACTGTGCGTACGATCGCATAATTGTCACAGAGTCCGTAAAGCACAAAGATGCGTCCGTATTTAACTACCAAAAAGAATATTCCTTGTCTCTTGATCAAGCGAAAGCTATAAGCGATCATTATCCTGTTGAAGTGCAAATCTGTTAAGCACCAAACAGGGCTTCTATCTGGACGGTACGCAGCAATACGCAATACCGGCACCTATTTAAGCCTTAATTTTGTTATTGTCGCTAAGTGTCTTGTCATCCCTTTGTGGGATCCAAGTTTTTGTTATTTAAAGCCCTACTCTGTCTCTTGCCAGGGGCCACAATATAGCGCGGCCATAAATATGGTTTAACGGCTGAACGCCGGTTTTGGGACCTCTCCACGGTGATCCTCATCCACATGGTGGCACTTTGTGTTATCGGGTGTTTATCGCTTGTGTGATGTCCTGGTGGGGTAAAAGAAGATAGACAGGTTATTGCCACGTCAATAGACATTTTGTGGTTAATACTGACACGTTTTCATTTTTTTTTTAAAAGTCCTGCTATCAACATATGCATGACTTCGTTGGCTATAAGCAAACTTTTCACTCCTTTAGCAAAATAAATCTAGACCTTAGTTTTAGTGTTGTGTTGGATGACCAACCAAAACCTCCTAAGTTTATCGACACACGCTGCTGTAGTGTGTCCTAAACAAATCTGAGATATTTTAGTGTCGACAGACTCCAACATAATGGTCATGAGGAAACAATACAAGATTAGATCTATTTTGAGAAACAATATCGTATTAAGAATGTTTATGTTCAGTCAGCTGTTTTATCTTTGATTTAATACATATATGTGTATAAATTGATCTAAACTCTAAACCATACTTTCTCAAAGTCCCCGTATGAATTCCGGGCCTCGTTTGTGGTTGTTAAAAAAAAAGATCCACTGCTACTAAACAAGCACGTCTTACAAGGCGACTAATTACGCACACATTGGTTGGACGTAGTAGAAGTTTGCTGAAATCGTATATATGTTAATTCAAGAGGCGCATATTTCACTACTAAACTATAAACCGCAACATAGTGTGCCAATTGCCCTTTTAAAGTAAAGGCGAATAAAGAAAAGCAATAAGAAGAAGAAGAGAAAAAAGAAGAATTTTCTCTAAGTGGGCGATAATTTCCCCCCCCCCCCCCCCCCCACTTCCCAGAATGATGGGAACGCTGGAATACGCCAAGAGAACGGTGGTAAGGTGGGTATAATTTCAAGTGTTAGATAAATACAAGTAGGTGTTAGGAGACGCATGTGCAACAGGAAGCTTTGACATTTTTTTTTTCATAAAGAGGTGGGTAAGGGGGGTGGGGGCGCTGATTGAATCAGAACGACAAAAAAAGAGAACGCCATTTTGAAAACGTTAGTACTTGTTTCAAAGTCGTGTTTTATTGCTTTCGGGCGGATTCGGACAGAGGGGGAGAAAAACAGCTGGTGAAGACAGGGAGGGGGGCAGGGACCCATGTTTTAGTGACCCGTGGCTAGTGTAAACGCCAGGAACAGTTCAGGCTGTGATATTTATTGTTGTTCCCCCACCCCCCCCCCACCCCTTTTCCCATATCATCTTACAAGAATTCGGAGCAAGATCCCCCGCATGAGAAACCAGTGTGCTAGCCACTCGACCAGTAGCTCCTCTCTGTGTGCTTCGTAATACAGGGTGCTGGGTTCCATCCCAGTTGCGTGCAATTTGTTAGCAGTCCGCTTTGCGATGATTTAGACAGTGGCATCGACAGCCGACCGTTTAGTCAGCAATGGCTAACTACTGGACGTAAAATTGCCAGGTGAAACCACAAACCGCCAAAAATGCTGAGGTTGGTTCTGTCTGGTAGTCTGGTAGTCTTAGTTTTAGCTTCATAGCAAACGGGTCGCCCCATCTTTGCTCCGCTCCTGTGCCAGCGAAAAACACCCAGAATGTTTATCACAGTCCCTTGTGGAAAGATTGACAGACTGCTGTCTCAGCACATCTAGCATACACTCGCATTAACGCATATGGTAGCCATCCGAAGTGCTAACACAAACAGTCCAACATTAGAAATGCAGTTCAACATTGATGATAGCAGAACTTGTCGCCAACAGATCAGCAGTTGCCCGCGCGATCAATTTTAATACAGGTCCCGCCAGCATTGCATGACCGGCATCGCGCCATTTTCTGAATCTACAATTCACACCACGTTGGTCACAGTCGAAAAAAACATTCCAAATGCAATCCGCAGCTCACAGGGTCACGCCATGCATTCAACTCAGAAGCTGGGCGACGAAACTATATCCAGTCTACAAATGGAGCAAAAATACTTCGGCCACGGTCCGGCAGAAGCAAAAAATTTGCCTCCGCTCCGAACAGCGCCGCTGTCTAGCGTCCATTTTAACCGGTTCTGTCACTTCCCATAAAGGGTACACAGCCACCTTTTGAAACAAGAGTTTTACTGGTAGTGGTTACTTAATCTCACAAATAAATTGATTACCTTAATAAGTCTTATGAAAGTTGTCGGCGTCTGTGGCTTAGGCGTTGCGAACGCGCTTCATAATGCCGGGTAGACGGGCTCGATCCCAGTTGTAGGCCTTGCGCCTTGCGTTGGTTTCAACAGTGGTATCGAGAAGCCGACCGCCCAAAAAGCAATGGCAAACTACTGGACGTAAATTTACCTAGGAAAAACCACAACAGCCTAAAAATAATGGGGTTGGTTCTGCAATGTCCTGTAAAGGATACGCAACTAACTTTTTAAAACTCATGAATAGTACTTTAAATATTTTTCTTATTTGTGTTTCAATATAATTCTTCATATTCTTGATTATTTATATTAAAGCAGTGTTTCCCCGTTGTGAATTTGAACAAAGAAGACACAAACAATAGACTGCACAATTTATTGCCTGGCAAATTTCGCTGTATCATGTCAGGTGCATACTACAGTAACAATGAACCTAATTCACAAAAACATCACAGTGTCCCTACAACATGAAAGTAGCAACACCTTGGCCTTTTTAGACATTTTAATTAGACGCAGAGATGATGGCACTATTGAAAGGTCAGTTTATCGTAAAGACACTTGGACAGGCCAGTACATCCATTTCAACAGTTTTGCACCTATGCAATACAAACGTGGTATAGTGAGGATATTATTCCATCGCGCTAGAAAGATTTGTTCCAGTGACACGCTACAAACTGAGTTTGAAACGATTAAAAAACACTGCTTTCTAATGGATATTTAGGTGGTTTTATTAAGTGCCATTGCCAGCCGCCCAAACCAATTACCTTAGAAATGTCAGTGCCATATATATTTATATATATCTAACGTTTCGGGGATATGATATCATGCAACGTGTATATGACCGACTCAAAACAGCTGTCAGTCAAACTGTTTACGCAGCCATGCCTGATGAGATTTAAAACCACCATGATTCCTACGCCACCAGTGAAAGAACAAGTGTCGACGTACGCCAGATCTAATTGTATTTACCAATTTAAATGCACATGTAACGCTGCATATGTGGGCAGAACTAATCGACGACTGGAGAAACGGGTTGCTGAACATATTCCACTATGGGTGGTACAAGCAATGCAGAACACTAACACCTCAACAAAAACGAATCAGGTGTTTGGTAGACAAAATCCATCATCAGCAATTGCGTGACATATTCTTAATTCCGGGCACATCGTTAACAAAGATTATGCATTTCGAATCATTGACAATTCGGCCAACCGTAGATTACTCCGATACGCGGAAGCGTCAGCGATCTACCGGTTGAAACCAGAACTCTGTAGGCAGAAAGAAATGGTCGTTACCTTACGGTTACCTTGGTGAAACAGACAGTTCAAAATTGTAGTCGAATTTGTGTTTCAGTTTCTAGGTTTCAGCTATTTGCTTCATTTAAATAAATTGTTACTGTAGTATGCACCTGACGAGATTCAGCGAAATATGCCAGGCAAAAAATTGTGCAGTCTATTGTTTGGTGTCGTCTTTGTTCAGATATTTATATGTAAAATTATTGTTGATATGGAAGATTAAGAATGAGTACAGTTTCCAGTTTCAATTTTTTTTTAATAATTTTTCTTTTTACTGTGTTTTTAAAAAGTAGAAAGAAAGATACATGCATTCTTCTTCTTTTTCTTCTTCACATCCTCTTTTACCACTTCGGGTGTCGAGAAAGATATAATAATCTCTGCTTCTTGCTTTTATGCCAGCCTCGACCATAGGCTTCGTGGTGTTGTAGAGTTTCTGTGAAGTTATCTTTCCGTTTTGTTCTTTGTCTATCTAGGGTTCTTCGTCTTTGCTACACACATTACAAAAAAATTAATTTGTCACTTCATCTTCCTGTTTATTTAATTACAAAAAGTAGATTTCAAATCAGCGTTGCATATTCGTTCTTTAGTATGGTTCTTTAAGTAGGAATGAATGATTAACTCTTTAAGTACCAAAACATTTAGCTAGACATGTTCAAGGTGATAATAGTCTCAGTGAACCTAAACAACGTATGTGACCATAAGTGTTACATACGAATCATCACAACTATAAAGGATTTTTAGAAGTAACTAGTCGCACTTTTTTATTTTAAGTATTACTAAATTAAACACTTGTCAGTCCTGTGGCTAAGACGATGCTAACACCTTGTAATGCCGGGATGCCGGGTTCGATCACAGCTGCGGGCCATGGGTCTTGCGTTGATTTCGACAGTGTTATCAGGAAAGCCGACCGTCCAGTAGGCAATGGCAAACTACTGGACGTAAATTTGCCTAGAAAAACCACACAACAGCCAGGGGCTGTTGGGGTTGGCTCTGCAACTTCCTGTAAAGGATACTCAACTAACCTAGATTAAACACTACATAAAATCGGTCGCGGATTGGTACTTATGGGCAGTATCTGATAACACATGGTGCGTTGGTTGGGACTGAAGGGCTTGAAACAATCAAGACACCTTTATCAACCTAGCTCTTTTTACATTTCCTCACACTTAGATACCTTTTTTACAGCTATTTAAGCGCACAGAGCAAAATTAGCGTTCACTCATTCGTCAGTGTGTGTGGCCTTTGTTTGTCTTTTGGAGAACTTCAAAGGGATTTAGTCAATACACAGGACTATAGGAATAAACTCACAGGGAGCAAGTACAGCGGGGATCTACCAGTCTTCAGTAGAA